CAAACCGGGGTTAGAATTTAACCCGGGGTTAGTGCTAACTGGCGTTCGAACAACCAGGCCCTGAAACTCATCTTGCTTGAATGGATTTGCAGCTGACTCCCCATAGAGCTGCAGTGTTTTTAATCACCCTCTTTTCATGCATATTACTTTTCAGGCTTAAGTAACAACAACTACCGTATTTCTTCACCTATAAGCCGAGCGATTTTTTCAGTTTTCGACCCAAAATTTTGGGAGATTTTTCACGGAGAACGGGGTTCAGCTTGTAGCCGAGGGTTTTACATTTTAAAAATATACAGTTGCTGAATAACTTTACCCCCGGCTTGTAGTCAAGTTAGCAATGAAGCAGAAGTGATAAAACACAACAAAAATAACTTCTGAATACTGGTTATTCACTTTTATGAAATTGGTGGCTCCTAAAGGAGCCGTTTGACGGATATGTGCAAGGGCTTTCAACCCAATAGTTTACTCGCCATCCGTTTCGTTTTCGCTGTGTGTCTCGAACTCGTTCTCTTCCATGTCTTCATCGTCTACTACTGGGGTTTCCTCAGCGTAGACCATGTTGTCCTCTGTTCTGTCCAAGGCATTGGAAATACCGCAGGTCTTGAAGGATTTGACAACCACACTTTTAACAAGCTTGCTACACTTCTTGGCTATGTATTTAGGTGTACCGTAAATGGACTGGGGCTCAGGCAAGATGTATGGCTAATTCGGACAACTTGACGAGTTATTACCCATTAAAGAAATCAATCAAAACTCACAATAGGAGGACAGAGGTTAACAAGGGCAGCACAAACTCGAATTATCTTGTCAATCAGTGGGGCTTTGCTCTTGTCCTCACATGCTAAGTAGTCAGTTGACAGAGTACCTTGTAAGATTGTGTACTTTTGTCTCAGAATTCCAATAACTCTCTCCACATGAATTCTGACATTGGCGATTTTACGTGTCTTTTCTACATCAACTGGATCCAGCTGTTGTTTGCCCCTGGTAAATGCAGGGACGTTCAGTTCTGCCTGGTGAAACCACACCTGCTCGTGGACAGTGAAACCTCTGTCTGCAAGGACAAGATCCCCAGGAAGTAAATTTTTTAAAAAGCCACAGTTCTCTGTAAGAAATTTGTCTGATGTGCGCCCCCCCCAGGCCTCACTAACAAATGATATTGTTCCTTGTGGTGTTATCCCAATCAACACTTTCGCAGTGTTATGGTGTTTGTAGTTCGAAAAGGTCTGTGCTCTTGCTAAAAGATTGGATGGCCTATCAATAAATATCTCGAAACAGTCAATGATCACACTTGTCTTTAGACCAAAAGAGTCAATGAAACATTTCGGCATTGTTCTTTGAAGCTGTTCCCGACTTGGCCAGGAAATTAAAGGAGATAAACGAACATCCATGACAGTTAACCAGGTAACAATAATGCGAGAAACAACAGTTCTAGAAACATCAAAACGATAAGCAAGAGCTTGGTGTGGGACGGCCAGTCGTAGTTTTATCAACACCAGAACAAACTCCTGAAATTTACTCAATGACCGGGAGCGTCTGTTGACATGTGGAGATACAAAGGAGAATGTTTTCATTAAAACTTCCCACGAGGGTAATCCAGTGTAAAAGCGAACTTTACCGTCATCTCCCTCAAAAAATCCCTGTTCAAATATGGTGGATTTTTCTGGCATCCAAGGTTTAGGCGTTCGAAACATGTAATCACACTGCTCGGTTTGCGTTGACCGTGATTGCGTGAGTTCGCTTGGCTCAGTTTGCGTGGCCATGTTGTTCCCCTCTTCCTCCTCCTCTGGAACCTCTGCCAAATCTTCTTCATCTTGAACCGCGAAAGAAATATCCCTGATTCTATCGCCATGGGCTTCTGATTCATCTTCCCTCGCCTTTTTTTCTTTCACAGCCTGAACCTGTTCTTCACGCTCCCTCTCGCGTTTACGTCTTTCTCTTACTCTCTGGGCTCTTTCCTGTTGTTTCTCTTGTTGGTCTGAACTCTTTAACTTGCTGTGGCCCAAATGCAAGCTAGGCACCCAGTCTAGATTGAATTTATCCCAGAGGGAAGCTGCTTTTCCAGAGTGAAAATGAATTCCACAAACACGGTCGTTCTCAAGCTTGCTTTCTGTCAAGTCATCACGACTTATGGCCGCTAACCATCTAGTTCGCCGTTCATTCGACAAAATTTCCGTCTGCTCGCCTTGACTAGTAATAACTTTAGGCACCCTACAAAAACTAAGGTCTGGACGTCTCTTTTTATCGTTGGAACATCCAACGATTAGACAAAACGAAGGCATCGCTACAAGACGCGAGGAGTCGCGTGACAGATTTCACTCCTCCAATATGGCGGAACCAACTTTTCACCTACGTCATAGTCATGTGACCGCACAGACACTATCGTCTACACTTCAGTGAAGTCAGGTTAGAATGCTAATTTTTCTATCTCGTAAGGTTTCAAAAGTAATATAAAGGGATGAAGGGAAGCATACAGACTGAGCATACATGTTCTTAGCCAGCGCTCGTTAATAAAACTGATAAAGAAACTTGTTAATATGTCAAAGGTCGAATTCAAACACAAATTTGCACAGAAAGACCAAGAAAGGAAAACACGGAAAGAACTCACGGTTATAATTCAACTGTACTAAATCGCTTTTATTTTTTCACCAGAAAATCAAGTTGTTCTTATCTTGTCTTGCTCTGCTGGCTGTCACTGTCCGGTCCACCTCCTTTCTCGAGCAGAAAAAGGTAAGACTAGTTAGACTGTTTCCCTCTCGGCCAATTCGCTCTCTCCAGTCCTACCGAGCTTAGACTCGACTGACTGAAGAGGGACTGCTCGCAGTCTAATGACTAGTATGAGAAATCGTTACTTCCTAGTTGTGTTAATAATGTTACGCTTTGACACTTTTGTAATGTAGGCTATTATTAGCGGGTTGAAATCTTCATCTTCCGTTTTGAAATATCAATCTAGTCAATCATTTTAACAATAAATGTCGGGAGCCGTAAATGTATAAAGAGCTTCATTACTGACCCGTTTGCTTGGTGTCGATTTTAATTGCCTTAACTATTACAACCAGCCGCCGGATTTGCAGGTTAAAGTTTAATTGCACTAAATACTGCCCTTTCAACTAAATAATGTTTTATTTTTTTATGACAATGTATAAAATTTATATAACTTACTCACCACGTTTTACAGGATTCCGTGATAAAATACTCACTGAAGTTGTCGAGCGGCACCGGGGAAGAATATGACGAAAAAATCGAAATTGACGCTCAAAAGGAAACAGAAACGTTTCACGTACCAAAGACTTCGCCTGACGAAGAAGCAGGAGATATAATCTACGACTTTAAAAAGGTAATAGAGTTTTATTTTCACTCTTGGAGGAAAGGACCGTGCATATAAGCGATGGGGAGTAGCGTCCTTGGGAATTTGTAACCTATTTCGGATCATTATGAATTAGGAAAGGACATGATTCAAAGTGATCTTAAAATTCAGCTTTGCAATATAATTGCCGTTGACGTTTGTGCCATCACCGTCTTCTTTTCAATTTTCAAGATTTCTTCGGTCTTTTTTAAGACTTTCATACTTAAGATTAAAAAAAGCAAACAAGCGAACGCCAAAAATAAAGAAACAAACAAACAAAAAATACGAAGCAGAACCAAACGGAAACAAGCCAAAAAGCAAACGTTGTTATTGACCTGATTTTTTAAAAAAAGGAGACTGAGAGTTAGCAGCCCCATTGAAGCGACGTTTCTAATCATTTCCAAATAAATGCTATCTGAATAGATTAATTAATGCATAGAAGCCCAGCAGATTTACTTAATGAACACGTACGATAAGTCATACATGTTAAATTAAATCTCAACAGGTCAGTAACGTTTACTGAAGTGTCAATATAAATCAGTATTTAAAACCTTTGAACAGTATGAATCCTTGCCGAAACTATTCACCAAAAATATTTCTTTTTTTGTCATTTTTGATTAATAAACGATATGGCACTTTAACGTAAAAACGTTACCTAGCTAGCAGAATTTCTTTAAAATGTTTTTGACGAGACTGTGATTTCCACGCACAGCCAACGCTAACAGCCTCAGAGGCTTGTAATTAGTCCATGCGACGACTCACATTGACTCAACAAAACGGCCAAAATACTCCATTCACTAAAAGGACGTGAAATTTCGCGTGTTTCTCGGTTTTCACTGTCACGCAATCGACAATAAAATTGCAAACCATTCAGTACAGAAAGTCCAGAATCTAGGAAATAAAAGAAGATAAATATGCAAAAGGCCTCGCCAAGAATCAGGTCTGTGCGATTTTTCATATGCGAGATATTCGGAAAAACGTTTTACCCAAATTTATAAAGCTTTGTATGGAGACGCCATGTTTGTGTCCCTTTGAGGGGCACAAATATGGCCGCCGGAAACCAACAGAAACATCTGTTTTTGAGTGCGTGAAATCATCGCTTGAAAAACTCATAAAGGATTAAAGTGATATTTATTCTGAGAAAAGGAATGTTTAGATAGCAAAGTCTCCCAAAATTGGTCATGTTTTTAACCCACATAAGAGCCTTCCCGACCGCCAGCCAAATGCCGCGTCACGCAAAAGCCTACAAATTCAAACGTCCCCTATCGCAAAACGAAGAACCCTTTGGAACCAAAACTTTGTTTAAATAAAGGTGTTTAGGTGCTGTAATACCTCATGAAACTCAGAAACTCAGAAGAATCGATAGTTTCTTAGTTTGAATTTTGGTGACGTCATGTGAAAACCGAGATTAGGAACAGGACGGAAACGTCAGTTGACGACGTGAAAGCGCGCGGAAAGGACTAAACACCACTTCCGATGCTCAATTTGCCGCTCTGCCATTGGTCAAGATGGTCAAGCCAGTTGTTTGGTTTGCGCGCGCCGTCGTCAACTGACGTTCCCGTTCTGTTGCTAAATCAGCCTACTGACCTCCAAGGGATGCTGGTTGTCGATATAGATTTTTAAATCATTATACTTAATTCCATTTTTCCTACAGAAA